CTTTCAAAAGCTTGGTTTTTTAATGGCTTGACGTATAGATATTTAGACAGAAAACCTTTAAATATATTAACAAAATATTCACAATTACCTTCTTATACATATGTTGTTCAATGTATCTTGAATTGAAGAATTATGGCAAAAATAGTACAGGGTGGAGGGAGGTTCATTACTTCAAATCGTTGAAATATTAACTACTGGTTCTTAATGGAGACGATTTGAATATTTTGCATTATCAGTATTTCCACAGTGTGGTGCTGCTATGTAAATTAAAATGCACTCCATGCTGAAGTTGTTTTAACTTGTAGTTTGCAATAGTTTGGAAAACGAACACAGATAAACCAGTTGCTGGCACTCCACATGGGAACAGAAGGCCTTCAGCAAATAAATGTTCTGTGTACTCCAGCCTTTATTTATTCACTCCAATGTGGCTCTTAAGAGGTCTCAATTTTTATAAAAAATACACTTTCAATGTCCTACAGAATGAAAACAGATCATAATTATCTACCCAAGGTTGTAGCAGTATTTTCTACACTTACGTTTAGATTCTTATTACATTTAATATGGTAATTTACTATGGGCAGTCAAGAAAAACATTTGAAAATATTACAGATCTTCTAATCTGAAATACTTCAAGTTTTGTTTTCAACATTAACTTCAAATATGTCATTTTTCTCCTTGATTTAATTGTTAAATATTTCATTTCTTCCCTGTTAATGTGAGATTTTAATATACTTTCTCCAAAGATTTATAATTAATACACCAAGGATTTCAATGTTACTCTTTAGCTCCGAGATCTCTTCAGTGCCACACATATTTGCCTTCCAATAATTTATACACATGGCTGAGATTCCAAAGGAATGATTGTAGAATCAGTGCTCTCTTTATGGGGGTTCTGACACTGATTTGCTCAGTGTGGCTTTGGGTGTGCTATTCTGTGTTCTCCATCAGACATTACAGATTCCACTTGGAACACAATAAGGATTAGTTCTCTGTAGGTTCTGGAGTTAGCTTATCCTCCCGCCCCTGCCCCCCCTCATTCCACATAATCATTGTATGGTAATATTTTTTCATATATCCAAAGAGATTAAAGCCAGCATTTTCAGCCTTGGCTTTTTGGATTTGCTTATTAGCTCAGGTAATACTTAATTTAAATACAATGGCTTGGATCAAAGTATTCCTTCTGCAAATGGAAGGACTGCTGTTTTCATAAACCCAACATTAAATTCCAAGAACAGTGGAAGTGGGGGAGCTCTGTGAATACCCTGCAATTCTCATGTTTCTTTCACATTTTGCTTTTCAGAGGTTTATGGGGGTGTTGATAGTAATAGAATTGCCTTCCTAGATTCTTCTGGCAGGAATATCCCATGAATGCAGTTTCATTAACAACCCTCTGAATTCACATCATTACCAAAATATATTAATATGAAGCAATTAGAACACTTATTCCTGAGAATGAATTTACTACCCTGAATCAAAACTACAAAACCACATTTCACATTTTTTTCAAAGATAGGCTTTTTTAGTTAAATAAGTTTGCTTTTCAATTTTTTTATTGTGCAGTTTTGCAATGGTGGGCCAAGCTTAACTGTGATGGAGATATGATTGTAAAAACAATAGAGCATTGTCTTTAATCTTTTTTTGCTTTTGTTGATGTCAATACGTTTACCATTGTCAGATTCAAATCACAACTGTGTAATTATGTAAAAAGTCTTTTTTATTTATTTGAAATTAGGTTTTAGATATACTTTTTAAAAGATTTTAACATCTGGCTGGACAGTGTTCCATTAATGCATTGATTGTGTCTTTCTTGTCTTGTGTTAATAAATAATGATGCCTGTCTGTTTTTATTATATCATTAACATTTTATCCCGTTTTTTTCAAAGCCTGTTTTTTCAAAGCCTATGACCAACTTTTAACTCCAGTTGGTGAAGTCTGCACATATAATATTCCCTTGTCCAATTAATTTGGCACACTATATAGTAAATTGAATGGTGAAGATGGTGGCCAAATAATCTAGTGAGTTTCTGTGATTGTTATTTGCATCTCACTGATTCTAGTCTAATTCCAATCATTATAGGACTTATTTGAAACACTAATTTTCGACAAAGTCCCTGAAGTGAATTACTATAATTATTTTTTTTAATTAAAGAGCAGCAGAAACTCCCCCTCCCCCCATTTTGCTAACTCAAAAAGGAAGTATATTTTGCATCAAACGTATTCATAAGTAGCCCCTGGAGAAAAAAACTGTACTAAAAATGTCCAAATTTGTATTCCAAGTCTTTTACTTACTAAGAACAAAAATATACTGTCATTTGTCCTCACTATTAGTTCTTCTACACTCCTGCAGAGCAAGTCCTATGGCATGTAAAAGGATGAAAAGGAGAAATTTCTGTCACTCAGGCTGAAACTCAGGAAAGTACTCAATAATTTGTGACCAGCTAGTGACCTACTGGATTTTTGCAGCTCATATCCCATCTAAGGCACTCATGAATAGGAAGTGCATTCAGATTTCTATCACTGCTGGCAATAAATAAATAAGGACACTACCCTAGAATGAACTACTGAAACTGTACTTTGGGCCATGTGCTTCAAAGTCATCCTATTGTAAGGCAATATGATCTTGAAACATCAAGCAAGGAGTGTCTATGGAGATTCTCAGTCATCCAAGTCATGGTTGTCCCAAAGGTGCTTTTTCAAAAGGCAACTGGACTTCTGATTTTTCTTTGAAGACATTCCACTTCCCACCCAAGAAGCTTCAGCTCTGACTGGATGGTGGGGAATGGAAGGATTTATAATCTTTGCAGACAGCTGGTCATTTGCATTCTTTTAGAGAGTCTTGAGGCCACTTGGAGGTTTATCTGTCAGGAATGGGAGTGGAACCTTCTTGGAACTGTTGAAAGGACTGTTATAGACTGGAGATAGATGATGTCACAACCCTCTCCCTCTGTCGAGAGAGTGCTGTTCAATTAACATACTCACTGGTATAGGTATGTGGACCATACTTGGGTCAAGATAAAAACACAGGAATTGGAAGCATTCACCAAACATAAACTCTGGACAGAAACATCAAATTTTCATGGGAAAATAGTCTAGCCTTCCTGGATTGAGCAGTACACATTAAAGAAGACAGAAGCCTTAACATTGAAGTTTACAGAAACCCCCACACATGGATCAATATTTACATTTTGATTTTCACCATCCATTGGATCACAAAATGGGAGTCATCAAAGCCCTGCATCACCGAGCTGAAGGACTGCTTACCAGCAAAGATGGTAAAGGAACTAAAACACATCAAGGAAGCCCTCAGAACATGTTGCTATCCCAAGTGGGCCTTCATCAAATCTCAAAAAAGTCTCTACAGGAACTCCTCTATAACAGACAACACCGAGAACAATAAATGAACCAACGTCGTCTTTCCATATGTTGCAGGAATATCAGAAAAGTTCAGGAGGATCTTCAGCCAACAAAACATACGTGCATTCTTTAAACCAAGAATACACTAAGACAGAATCTTGTCCATCCCAATGATAAAACACCCAATCCTAGACATAAAGTGAGCAACGTGGTATATGCAGTACAATGCAGTGAGACGTGCAGATCTGTACATTGGGGAAACAAAGCAATCACTTCGTAAGTGCATAGCACAACATAGGAGAACAAACACATCAGGACAAGATTCAGCAGTCCATCTGCATTTAAAAGACAAAAGGCCACTCTTGAAGACAGCAAAGTCCACATTTTGGACAGAGAGGGCACCGCTGGTTTGAAAGAGGGGTCAAAGAGTCCATCTATGTCAAAACTGAACAGCCCTCTCTCAACAGAGGGGGAGAGATATGATGCCATCCATTTCCAGTCTACAACAATCCTTTCAACAGTTCCAAGAAGGCTCAACACCCATTTGCACTACTCAGGTGATCCTGACCACACAGATAAACCTCCAAGTGGCCTCAAGAACTCTCTATAGATGCAAATGACCAGCTGTCTGCAAGGAATATAAATCCTTCCATTCCTCACATCCAGTCAGAGCTGAAGAAGTTTCTTGGATGAGAAGTGAAATGACTTCAAAGAAAAACCAGAAAGTCCAGTTGCCTCTTGAAAAGGCACCTTTGGGACATTAGGCAAGGAGGATACAGCACATGCAAGAGCTTGATTTTTAATTGCACCATATACTGTGCCATATTAAGGAAAGATAGATTGAGGCTATTCTTTTATCTCTAATAAGACAAAGCAGGTATTTTGTTTAAAATTATATGGTTCATAGGCATGCTGCAAAACAATGGTACCAGCCTCTAATATATTTACAATATATTTACAGCTAAAACCCATATAAATATCAGATATAAATATAGTGACTGATGAGAAGAAATGCCACGATAACTTTGGTTAATAAAAGGCAGTGAGCAATCCACTTTGTTATTCAGTTGTTCAGTCCATTCCAATTCTTCATGACCCAATGGATATAATTTCATCACGATGAGGAACTATTTCTAATGTCCTGTAAACTGAGATTTTTTTTTTTACTAGCCACACCCAACACTGAGGTTAATTGGTGAACAGGCAATCATTTTATGAGCGTGCACAAATTCTCAAAATTTCAAATCTATGTCCAACCCAAAAGCCTCCTTCCTTCAGTAATTTCCTGTGGAAACGTAAAATCTCTGAACTTAAGACGAGAAGAAGAAAGAGATCTTCAGGTCCAAACTTTTCTTCCTTTCACTTCCTCCCATTGCTCAGAAGAGGAAGATGTGCCTTATCAGCTCTCTACTTTAAAATCCGCAGCCGCAATGTAAAGTCTGGAGTGACGCAGAATCCGTCAAGCTGTTTTTTAAATGCACACCTGTGTTTAAACCGTTTTATTTTTTCGCTTGGCCGCTGCGTCCGTAAATATAAAGCGTTTTTTTAACCTAATATTCTGCTCTTGTGAGATAGCAGGCCAAGATTGCAATCCTAAAGTTGCTTCTTTGACGTCACTTCTGAGTACACTTTAAGTAGAATCAGGATACGATCCTATGTTTGCAGACTTAGTGGGACTTCGCTCGCGATAAGAAGGCACGGAAAGGTACGAAAGCACAGACACCAAAGGCCTTAAAAATAACCATTGCTTTGCCACTCTAGCGTCCCCAGACTTGCAACTCTCTGATTCCCGGCTGTGGTTAGTCTAGACCAAGGGAAAAAGAGAAACTCTATTGTTATCAGGCGGTAGCCGACTCTAGCGCTGGCCTCCGGCGCACTCTATAGTCACAACCCGCCCACCAAGAGCAACCGCAGGGTAGCGTCCCCCTGGCGGGGACTAGTTTGGTAATGCTGACAAGTAGCGGTGGGTCCGGTTTCCTGAGGCGTTAGGGCGATTCCCTCTGGGCAACGCGAAGTCGAGGCGAAGCCCGGAAAGCCTCTGAGGTAAAAGCGGGCGCGACGGCCAAGCGACTCAATTTAGAGCGCGAAGCGGATCGGACGCGACTGAAACCAGCGAGCGGGAAGAGGAAGGAAGGGAGAGCGAGGAGGGGGGAGGGGGGCGGGAAGAGAGGCGGCTGAGCAAAGTCCGGAGAGGGGAGGCGTTGGGCGACCCCCTTCCAAAGCACGCGCGCATAAAAAAGGCGCGAGGCGTTGAGCAGGGGGAGGGGGGGCGGCAGTTGGGGGGGGAGCGCTTTGGAGGCGGTTGGAATTTGGCGGGAGGAGAAGCCTGTGATGCGCCGCGTCGGTGCTGAGGAGCGCTCAGCCCTTCGTTCCCAGCTGTTGCACAAGCACCAGGGCTCCCCCGATGACATCCATACCTTCTTGCCGCGGTTTATCAGTCCAAAAAATCAGGGTGCCCACAAAAAACCGAGCAAGGCTTACCATAAGTTCTCGCTGGGCTCCATCTGCCCAGTCAGTTTACACCCGCTTACCTTCCTCCTCCTCAGGCCGTCGGCTTCAAGCAGAGCCGACTTTTTAACATGTGCCGACGCCAGGGGATGGGAGTACTTTTTAGAACCAGCAAATGTCACAAGTCGTCAGTATCCCTCGATACTCCGCGACGGTGGTTGGTGCCAGTGCAAATAACGGGGGGTTAGGTAGACGTTTATGCTTATGATTCAAGTGCCAGAATCAATAATGATTTTATACCTTAAAAACCTCTTAAGAAGAATTAAGTCTATGGTAGCCCGGCAACCCGGAGTCTTGTATCGCCGTTTTCTACTAAAAGGCATTTGTTTTTGTGAACTACAACTCACTCCATTGGATGCATAGACTAATATATGATTTACGTTAGACATGTGGGGGGGAAGAGGGGTGACATATAGATCAGATTACACATGCTCTATCAATAATTATAATGAGTTATATTGGGACTTTTGAGATAGCCTGAAACTTTTTAAATGTGGGTGAGCTCAGCAGTTTCATTCAAGTTGTACTGTGGACTTTCATTGGTTTCAGTGAGTTACTCAACTGGCGACCCCCAGGGGGAGAGCCTTCTCTGTGGGGGCACCTGCCCTCTGGAATGAGCTGCCCCCGGAGATTCGTAGGATCCCTGACCTTCGCACCTTTCGCCGTGCCCTCAAAACGCTATTGTTTCACCAAGCAGGGCTGGCCTAAATGCTATTTTAATGGGTGGTTTCTATTTTAGCTCTTTTGGCCAAATTATTTAACATTTTTAAATTGTCTTTTAACTTTCATATAGTTGTGGGTTTTATTTTTGGCTGTACGCCGCCCTGAGTCCTTCGGGAGAAGGGCAGTATAAAAATTTAATAAAATAAATAAATAAATACTCCAAAATCTGTCACGAAGGTTAAAATCACAGCTCGAAATGCTGAGATTACTTTTCTTTTGAGTCTGATGTGAAATCAATGACTTGTTTTGTGCAAATTGCCTTATGTAGCATTCAGAAGGGCATTTCTGGGCAGGTGGAGGAAGAGTGTGTGAAGGCATGGCTAACCTTGTGTGGGAAGTTACTGTGACTTGTGATGATGCTGTTACTATAAATGAGGGGGCGAGTAGGCATCTGCAGAGTGTGCAGGGTCTGGTTACTTCATCAGTATTATTTCCCTGTTTCTGATTACTTGTGAAAATCAGCTTCAGGATGGATGGTTGTTTGCATGCAAGTACAGTCCTGCCACCCAGTGCTTGAGAAAGTGCAATGTCATTGTCCAGTATGGGTTGTATTTTATTAATAATAAGTTTGAATGAATCGAGATATAGGTTGGACAACCAATGATGTTCTGTTCTTGTACAGCAGTCTACCTTCTGGTCTTCCCTGGAATTGATCTGGCTCTGTTAATTTGTTTGTTACACTTTCCTTGTTTTTTTTTAAAAAAAGGTTTGCTACATATTTCATGTAGAGGAGAGAAGGCTTGCATAATCATTTCCCCCAGAAGTTCTTCCTAAGGAGACTTGCCTGATACAAACTGATACTCTTTTGGTGCCAGGTGGAGCCTGATTTTTTTCAGATATTTATTTAATGCTTAAATAAATCATTGCAAATTGTTGTATTTTTATAATAACCATCTAATGAATTCTTAAGTGTGGCTCTCATGGCCTGTTAAAAATCCAATCACTGTTTTTACTGTGTTTATTTTTAGTCTCAGTTTTATTTAAGTGTGTGGCACACGTTTTTTTTATATTGAAAATAGGGATCCAAACTCAAAATAAATAAAATATATGAGTGTGCCTAAAATATGAATAACAAATTGTTAACAAAATCCCCCATATATATTATATCAGTTTTAGAGGAAAGTTCTTACATTATTTCTATTAAATGTATGCTATGATATTGGCTTAGTGATTTAAAGAGGCACTGTCAAACTATTCTAAAATAAAAGTGTTTTTCCCAATAGTCTCTATTACAGCTTTTGGAAGATTAAATAGCCCCTATTTAAAATTAATTGTATGCTTATTATGCTGTAATTACCTATACTACATAGCTTTCAACAAATAAAGTAGATTGCTGAACAATACAGTCTTCAAAAAGCATTAAAAAATGGGGAGGTGAGAGGTTGTCCAACCTTGAAGTAATATTAGATTGTGACAGAATTACAATTTTACTTTTATTTTGATTTAATAATTAAATTTTATATCTACAAAAAGTGTAGAAGACAAAATAAAGAAATATTTTTAAACAAGGAGCATGCTAGATAGATTCTTCTGGATACAAAATTAAGAGGAACAGCAGAAATCAGCATTCAATTGAAATAAGAAATATTAGGCTCTTAAAGAAGATTTTAATATAAAAATTGAATTGAAAATGGCCTATTAGACCAGCTGTAGTTGTATACCATTGCTAGTGTACTATGGCAGGCAATATTATTAGCTGTTTATCTCAGTTATAACATTGAAATGTTTTATTTTATTTTATTTTATTTTTTTGTCTCCAGAATTTCTGAGTTTAGGCCTATAAGAAAATTATAACTGATACTTAGTGAGATTTTAGTTTACCAAGCAAGGTAAATGTATCTTATGTGAAGTTGATTCACAATACTGCTGATGGTTTGATGGAGATGGATATTTAGAAACTGCAAATATAGTGAATTTAGAATTGAATGTGTATATGATTCAGCCTCTCTAGACTAGAGGGAAAGAACAAGATGTACTGGACAGGTATAATCACATGGATAGGCTCCAAATGCAGTTGTTGCTCATTGTTGCTTTAAGATGGAAAAGAGGAATGCTAAAAAGCAAATTTATATTTATTAATTGTCAATATGCTTTTTATTGTTTAATTTTTAGTTTTCTTAATAAATAACAGTAATCAAGAATAGGTGGTGAAAAGTTCTTTTCCACAACTCCATCTTTGGTCTCCATTGTGACCTTTTATAGATGGGATGCTCTGCTCAGTATCATTTAAACCTTGGTCATGTCTCATTTACACTATTGCAGTGTATTTTATATGAGGTAACCCCTGAAGACCACCTGGAAGCTTTAATTGGTCCAAAATGCAGTGACTCCAGGAGTTATGGGTGCTACACGAAATAATTTATTTATTTATTTATAATGCAATTTATATGCCATCCTATCTCCAAGGACTCAGAGCGGCTCACAATAGTAAAGTTGCATAGTTCCTCATTAAAAGACAATATAAAATTAAAATTCCAATTTAAAACAATTTAAAATTCATTAAGAACCCCCGTCCCCGTCCCCGTCCCCGTCAGTCCAGGCTGCGGAACAACCAGGTCTTAAAATCACGGTGGAACGAGTGAAGGTCAGGGGCCATATGGAGCTCCAAAGGAAGTTGGTTCCAGAGGGTGTGCGCGCCCACAGAGATAGCTCTCCCCCTGGGGGTCGCCAGCCGACACTGTCTGGCTGACGGCACCCTGAAGAGGCCCTGTCTGTGGGAACACACCGGGCGATTGGGAATTGTCACTGGCTGCAAGGGGTCCGACAAATATCCCGGGTCTAGGCCATGAAGGGCTTTGTGGTAATAACCAGCACCTTGAACCTCACCCGAAGGGCAACAGGTAACCAATGCAATTCGCGCAGGAGGGGTGTAACATGGGAATGTCAGGACGCTCCCATCACAACCCGCGCAGCCGCATTCTGCACCAGCTGAAGCCTTCGAGTGGTTTTCAAAGGCAGCCCTAGGTAGAGAGCTATTAGCTGTTTGTTTCTGAGTGCAATTGAAGAATTTCTTCGTCGCCTTTAAAGGCCTACATAGCTTAGAACCCATGATATCTTCTAGACTACTTACTCTCAGTAGTTTTGGCTTGTTTGTTAGAATCTAGAAAGTAAGAGTTTATCTGGATCTCTATCCCTAGAGAATGTCACCTGTGATATCAGCAGCACAGGCCCTTCTCAGCACCTGCCTCCCTTCACTGGAAAAGCATTCTCCTAGATCAGGCCTAATGTTCTTTTATTTCTGAGAAATAATTAAGACTTGGGAGGGGAGAAATCTGATGTATTTAATGTTGATCCCTCCTGCAAGGGAATACTTATAGAGTTTAGTTGTTCATTGCTGTCTAGGGTATTTTGATTAGGGTTTTTGTGTATTTTTAAAATCGTATTACTGTATTAGGATATAAAAAACTCAGTCACAAGGAAAGCAGCATGTAATTCTGTTAAAATAATCATACACGATCAACGATTAAACCACTTTTTAAACTGAAAATGAAGAAAAAGACATTTTTTCCATTGTGAAACAGGAAACCAATAGAAAAACTAAAAAGATTATCAACATAATTAGAAGCAGAATTTTGGCATGGATGGGAGGAAAGAAGAAAAGGACATCCTGCAGCAAAATGAGTGATCTTCACTATAATGGTGATGATTCTACTACTGGAGACTAAAAGATGAAGCTGTAGAAATACCATCCTGGAGGTATCTATGTGGCCACCAAATGACAATAAACTTGGTGGCATACAATCAGTCAATCAAGCGATCAATATTCTTATGCAACAAATTAGTACTTAAGCACAATTACTCAAATGCAGTGA